GGGGTGCTTGCACTTGTGTCTGAATGCACGGCTCCGTACACCTAGGCTTGGATGTCCAGCACGACGAGGACCAGTTTGGTGATTCGACCAGGCTCCGACGACTTGTGCCGGCATGTGTTGTACGTGTTTGTAAAGATGCGTGGATGAGACATGGTTTCGGTGCGTGCCGGGAGACTGCCACAGGCACCTGGCGACACTTCCAGCTGCAGAGCGAACCTTGCAATGCCCACGCGTATTTTCCGGCAAGGCGACGTGCGTTGCTTATCCTCGCGCATTTGAAGAGTAGATAACAAAGCCGTTCCGGCCTATTCTGCATCCGATTTTTGATTCTGGCAGGCCTTCAAGGTGGACACGTGACATGGAGGCACCCTCAGGACAGAAGCGCATCGGTGAAACAGGAGCATCTTCAGGCTTGCGTGGCGGCCGATAGTCGGCCCTAGACAATAGCTGTTTCTCATATTTCTTAAGCCTGCCCTTTAGGCGATGGCGGTTGATCCCTTCTCCTTGGCCCTTTCGGCAAAAGCCTTTTGTCACTGGCCTTAGGTAGTCATTAGCAGAGCCACCCATCGAGACTTTCAAACCTCTTCAAGGAAGCATGCGGCCAGGACTAGAGTAGGTTCATGTTTGACTATCAGTATGTGGTTATGCGGGTATATCACGGAATATCATAGAAGATCATAGTAGCTCTCACAGAGCGTAGTCTGGGGTGATCTGGAAGGCTCCTTGCCCAAACGCACCAAACATGTGTGAAAAGCACAGCTCTATGTATTCGGCCTTCGGCCTCTAGCGTGTCGTCCCCAGTCCCCGCACCCCAAAGCCGGGATGCCACAGCTGCAGAACCGAACAGGATGTTGTGTGCATACACACACGAATCTTGATGGCGGTATGCGCATATCTATATATATATATACATAAATCTATATACACTGTATATGCATATAACGTGCTTGCACACGAACGAAAACAGCAATCGTGCAAGCTTTGTAACATGTGACAGGAACTTGGGGCCTACCCGGTTTCTCTCTTTGTACTCACACACACGCATATACA